AGCTGAGTTCTCTGTAACTATCATATCATTGCCGAGTCCAGGGTTGGTTAAAGCTTTTGGTACTGTCAGCTATGGAAACATTTGCACCAAGACTATTTTACCATAGACACATTAATTCACTATATATCTATCTATATGCTTACCTGGATTTTAGAGTTTTAATAGAAATAAAAAGCTAGACATTTAGGGGGATAAACTTTTGCACAGAAGTTAGCCATCAAAGAAGAAAAATAACCTTTAGATTTTATTCATTTGACTAAATGTGATGTGACACAATGTTTAATGTTGCTTGAAGTCTGAACGACAATTCCAGTTTAATCTTCTGATGATGACATGCTAGGTAATTTGTTAACTTTGGGATATATGAACATAAAGACACGTTTTAAAATGTCTTCTAAAAATAATATTGTATTTTGATGTTTCAAATAGTATAGTAAAAAGCCATCTTTTTTGTTATATCTGAAAAAAGCAAATTGTGAAGGATTCCTCTAATCTCTCCAAGCATTTTATTCAGAGTGCTTCAAAATTCACAGCATACTGTTGACATAGAAACATCCTCCCTAGTGCCATATCCAGTCATGTGTCTTTCCAATGCTACCTCAGTTTGAATCCCCACAGGAAAGTTGCTGGCTTTGTGAACACACGTACTAAAACAGAGCAATAACACAAAAAGAAAAACAACTCATCAGTGTTTCATATAATTAAATTAATTTCAGCAGGTAATAGGAAAGAAATCAGATAATGCAAGACTGCAGAAAAGTGACAATGATGTACAGCTGTGAATAATTTTGCTTTGTTAAGATGCAGTGAAATGAGGGAAGAAAAGAGGACCTTTGATAGAAAAGCTACAGATTCCACTTCAAACAGAGTAAGAAAGCTCTGATAACCACTATAGTTAAAGCAAATTCAAAAGACTATGCCAATGACCTGTTTTAAGGAAAACCACAGTTCTATTTTGTGCCCTACTCATCACCACCCAACCTTCTGATGCCTTCATTTCTTCTTTTCCCCACTATCATCTCTAAGATGCCTTACTTCTCACTCACAAGGAACAGACAACTCTTATAAGCAGAGTACTTTTCAACATAAAGAATTCCATAGCCGCTTTTGCTCTAAAAAGAATTAAAGGAAACCCATATTAAATAGAAAGCAACTATTAGAGGTTGCTATTTTTTAGAGATGACCAAGGAAATTTAAATGGAAACTTCTTTGAACACAATGCATCTGGCTTTGCTGAGCTAAAACTAACCATTGCTGACCTGACATGCTTGAAATCTTTATCATTTCCTGATGTGGTTTGATGACAAGTATGGTGGCAGAATGAAGACCTGAGTCTTCTGAAGGTATGAAACTATGGGGCCAGCCACACTTCCAGTGAAATTTCTCCTCACTGCCCAGGCACTGTCTCAGTGCTCAGATACACAGCTTCTTGGATATATAGTATATGATGCAGCGTATAAAGGCATTTCCATCACAGTGAAAAACCCACAGGTACCACAGACTATACGCCTGTAAGTAAGTACACCGCTTTTTGTTTTTTAACAATTACTGAATAGTACGCTGAGATTCCCGTATTTGCTTAACTTCTATGCACTATTATATATACTTTTTTTATAGAAGGATGATATGCTTTAAACATTTCTTTGGTGGTTAGACATGTTCTGTTTAACATAATTTAGGACTCTGGAAAAAGGACTGAAATAATTCTCTCAGATTTAGTAATTTTTTTTTACTTTGATTTTATAAGGCTACACTGACATTTAATTTTACATGGACACTCATAGCAGACTTTTATCTGGATTTATGCCACCAGCCTGCACTCATCTAATCACCAAGCCACTTACTTTGCTGTGTGGAAATAAGGTTTACACTATTTTTTTGTTACTTCCTATTGCATCAAATTCTCTTTGGTATAGCATAAAGTCCAGAAAACTTCCTCCTCTTAAGATCAGGATGACTTGCTTCAACAGATGATAGACAGTACAATTAACCATGCGATGTAATCTATTAGAAAATCTGACAGTAGAAAGCAGGACACTAGAAGACAAGCCTCCTGTGGGAGGCCTCCTGTCCTACTGTTCCAGCTATTTTTCCATTCCAGTGCTGTGCTACAAAGATAAATTGCTGATAAATAGCATGTTCAACATTATTCATTAGGCAAAATGCAAAAAAAAATTTTTGAAGAAGTTAAGCTGTCTGTTACCCCATTCAAAGCTAGAAATCCTGCTTTTGCTTTATCAATGTAGCTCATTCCTTCCTTGAAAAGTATGCAGTTGCTCACTATAGCACCTGATTTTGTCAGTCATCTTATTTTTTTCCATCTCAACTTTTGTGACGTGCATACATAAGAACCATTTAGAAGAATTGTAGCATATGACTTCATGGTATTTTTCTATTTTTTTCATTGCTGCAGGTAATGACACGAGAATGGTGTTATTTGGCTTGTTAGTCAAACTCAGCATTGGATAGTTCTTTATGTAAAGACGTCATCAACAGAGATGCTTACCAAAAACTCCCTACGGAAAGCTGCTTTAATCCCTGTGCTTTCCAAGACTATTTTATTTACTATGACTCAGTATGACATCCACTTTAGGCCCTTAGACTTCTGAGCAGTAAGTACCTGTCATAACAGCAACAGTGATGCGGATTACACCATTATGTTCTGATTCACTGAGTTTATCAACAGGAGAGAGATGATGAAAGCTCAACAGATGGATCGGAAAATTCAGAGGTTTTGCACTGATTACAGGTAGCAAAGCTGTTCTTGATGAGTACAGATATAATTCAGAGTATTTCTTCCTGTTTCTAGAAGACAGATACACCTAATGAATTTCTTCACATACTCAGTTCTTTTCCAGGAAGACACATTTGCTTTGATGTCTAAAAAAAATAACTGCTTTACACCATTAAGAGAAAAATAAAGTTATGGCTCCCATAGTAGCTTCCAATGTAGAATGTAACTTCACAGAACAGCTCTTTCTTTGTATGTTGCAGTTAACGGTAAGTAACTGAAATGCATAGGGAAGACAACGAGTGGTACTGCAACTCCTGTAATTTTCCTGCTTGTTCTTAAGAGAATCTTTTCATTGTGTTTCTGGCCAGCAGGGATTTTGTAGTTCCAACAGCAGACATTTCACCTATTCCCTTACACTCTTTATTTATTTTAACAAATGTATGAAAACCTCAGCAACTAGCCATCATAGCAATCAATTTTAAAAAATGGAAATAAAATAAAAAAAAAAATCAATAAAACCACTAAGAAACTATGAGGACAGAATGGACAATCTATTTAATGTCTTATCAGAAAACTCTTCAAAGATCCTAACCCTTGGTCACTTCAAACCTCAGTCATAACTTCTCTAGCTGAATTTTATAATATGCCCTAAATGAGAGAAATAGAAGTTACGGTTACATTGATTGGGGAAACAGAAATTATGCCAGGTGTCAGAAAGAACACACCTGAACCGCACCCTAAAAATGGTTCCCCCTTCTTGTTCATCACAAATTCCAGCACAGGTGCAGGTATTGATAAAAACTTATATCCATAAGGACTGAAGCAGAAATATCTTTGGCAGATGGATTCCGTAACATTTAGGACTTCAGCAGTCAGACAAAGCACATCAATCTCCACTCACAGTGGCAACTGGCAAATACAGACAACCCAACAGAAGTCCTGTTCATGCAAGAAAAGACACCGTGTGTATTTCAGAGGAGAATGCTCACAGGGCAGAAAAGATTCCTGGCCGTTCTGTTCTTTGGCATCTGAAAAAAGAGGGTCATTCAGGGATAGCCTCCTCTCCCCAACAATTACAAGTACGACACATTGAATACGGAAGGTATTGATGGACAACATGATTAACTTCCAATCTTTTTCCAGTTTGTGGGAGGAAGGAAAATAAGCAGCCAAGGCCACAAGGGCAACGCCTGTGCCAAACCAAGGTCAGAATGCCGACACAATTTAAAGGCGTCAGCAGCATCGCAGAATCATGGGATTCCACTCACCACGACATTTTTCACAGTGTTAATCAGGAATAGAAAAGCCGGATGTTGGTCGATAACTCAGAACTTTGGTCATTAAGTAGTGGCTTTCTGGGCAAAGACACTGCCTGAAACAATTATAATCATTCCTTCGTCAGGGGTCACGGATGCTTTCCACCAAATAGACTTTATCAACAAAGGCTAGAATTCAAAATGGTTTCAGAGACTTTTAAAGGCAATTGGGGGTCATTAGATCATGTACTCCGACTTGTATTACGTAGACCATAGACGTTTACTCCTAGCTACTCTACTGAAATTCCCAAATCTATGTTTAGCTACTGCCTTTAAAATATAAAGAAAAATGAGCCATGGCTCAACAACTTCAAAACACATTGTTTCTTGGTAAGATTTTTTCAGTAGTTTATCACTTTGTGCCTTCAACAAATCTATGCTCTTGCTAATTTACTTATCTTTAATCCTCAGCCCTTGGTTCCTTCTGACAGCACAATACACTCAAACTGCACAAAACTAGTTTTGCAACATCACTACAAGGTTCCAAACACAGATGCAATGACAAAAATCCAACAGTCAATGTATGGATGACTAGTATTTTAAAGGAACTAGTTTTGCACTCAACAGCATGTATTAGAGAATATGGCTAATGTTCAATCTTTTTACTTCTTGAAGTAACAGATAAAACCAATAATATTTAAACTGTCTTGCTTCAGCTTCCTGTTCCTGTAGGTTTTTTCCCTTAAAAGGCTCATTGGTAAGTCTTCCCCCTTCTTCCCATTGCACAACAACAGTGATTTACAGTGGTTTAATATAAATTCTTTCCTTCAAGTACAAGTTTATTCTAAATGTGCACCCTATCCAACCCATCCTCCTACACAGAGTTAACCAAATCTCTGATCTTTTATTTTGTAGATCATGTAATTTGATGTGCAATCTTCTGTGAGATCTCAATTTTAGCTGAATAGACAACACTCTTATAAATAACCTTATTAAAAGTGAATACTGACCTTGAGGTGAGGCTGAAGGAAACAGCAAATCCAGGAAGGAGATGCGAAAGAAAAAGAGTTAGAGTTTGTGAAAACAGTGTCCAGAGATAAGGCAGTTCAAGAATACAGGACAAAACAAGCAGATCTAAATCAGGTAATGACACAGACACACAATCCTTCACAAACACAAAGAGCTGCATGTTTTACAGACATCTAATTAAAAAAAAAAAGACCAAAAGGACATTTATATTAGATTACACCATTTCACTTAGAGGCAAGTTTCTGTAGTGAAAATAGACTCTAACACATAACAGTTCTTGGGAAAGGAGAATAAACCAACTGTAGAAAACTCCGGATTTACATTACATCACCAGCAAGTATCGTCCTTCCAGAATTCGAACAAATGTTTTGAAAATATGGAGTTTGACTATTGAGATGAACCTTAATGTGTTCCTATATGCCACCTTCTAGGGGCTTATTTTCTTTCCATGAGCAAGGCATATTTTTTTTTCCATTTTTCCTGCAGATGACCCAAGCTTGTCGAAAGGGAATAGAAGGGAGAAAAACCCCAACCATGGAGTAAAGTCTTCCAAGACCTGAAGACTTTGTCAAAGCTAAAAGTTCATCCTTCTTAATTTTGACATTGAAATCATCCTTCCAAGGACAAATAAAAAAAGCATCTGCCTCTTCTTCCTGCAGTTTTGCTGTCTTAATTCTCCCATATAAGGTGCAATCTAAAACAATAATGACCAAACAGGCATATCTTTGACAGTTCTCTCCAACATTGTTCAACAGCAGGATTGACCAAGACAAAATGCTGGAGTTCCCTGTGTAACATAAGGTCCCATAGGTTCATTATTGCTATTTTTTCAAATATCTCCAATATCTTTTCAGAGGCATCTACTGTCAATTTCACTGATAACAGCATTGTAAGTCAATAAGGAGCCATAAACACAGATCTTTTTAATCTGATTTCTGATTTTAAACTTTATTCTTTTTCAGTCAATAGAAGAGAGGAAAAGCAAAGTCCTGCTGTCCAAAGTGCCAATTTGGCTTCTACAACATATGTTGTACTTCTCCCATGGCAAAATTTCACTCAAAAAAGGCAGGCTATAGTCTGGAGGAAAATATTTCTATAGGATAGGCTAACTGCTATATGCTTTGTTACTCTTGGTATATGGAACCATGTAAATTGAATTTGAAGTCCTTATTTCTGTCATAATTTTTACAAACAACAATGTAGGATTTTGAATTTGTACAAGCAGCAGTTTCAGAGCAAGATACAGCTGAGAAATGTACTGTTGGTCTGTAACAGACAAACTAGTGTAAAGCTACTTTTCTTTGGCTTTTAAGCTAACAATTATCAGATCAGGTTCTTCAAGGACAGCTGGTGTAAGGGCTGTGTTATTTGGGGATTTCAGGAAAGGTGACACTTGCAAAATGCCAAATACCACATCTCAGTGTTTGATCTTGAAGTAAGTTATAATGTTCCAAAAGCCTCAGTTAATTCATATAGAAAAGCGTGTAACTAACAATTCTAACTGAAATCCAAACTACGCTCTCTAAGCTGGGCTGCAGAACTATGACGGGTCAAACAAATTTAACAAAAGGGAACAAAAAAAGTGAAAATCAACACTTGATTAGATATTGGAATAAATAACGTAGGGGGGAAAAAAGCTTGTATTTTTTATGACTGTTACTGAATCCGGATTATGAAAGTTTAAGACGTCTCATTTTGTGCTTCAGGGACCCTTCATAGTTCCTGGTTCTGTTGTAATAATATTGTGATATTGTTTCTTCAATTTAACAGCGAACAAAAGTACAGGCTAGAATTCAGGATAGCCCTGTAGGATATGAATAAACCATACTGTTCTTTCAACTTCTATTAAAGCTAGCGTCTTTTGCTGGCACAAGACGAAGGCAAAACAGTACCTGAAATGCCATGCTGAGGTCGCTTGCAATTTTTTGTACGCTACAGAAGTATTAATTAGCCAGCTGCATAGGATTTGAATGGAGAATAATTATTGCTGCATCTTCATTTTCTGATGGACTAAATTCTTTCTTCCAAAAAAAAATACATTTTGTATAATTGCTAGCCCCTTTTTCCATGTTTTTTTACAGGGGTTCAAAATATTTTTTAAAAAACGTGCATTTTTAGAATAACTCTAATATTTATCCAAACAAAGAAGAGGAATATGCCTGAAAGCACATAGAAATTAGAAGAAATCTGGAACTGTGCTATCGCTGAAACTAAAAACAAGGCAGACACCTAAAATTGCCAGCTATTAGGAAGTCAATGGAGGTCTGCTACAGACTGGAAGTGAAGCCTCAGTGCACGGGGATACATCAGTGAAATTGAGCAGAGGAGCGCAGCAAGCATCTGCCCCAGGAAGCAGCCCCAAGCAAGCAGGATCAGATACATACCAAGACATGCTCATTCCAGAGCAAAATAATAGTTTTTAGTTTGTACTATTTCCCTTCGAGCAAGAACACACACTTGCAGCATTCCTTACAAGATCCAGCAGCAGCACTTCTGCCCAGCCCCATTAACTGTGTACTCCGACGCAACAGTCACACCGGGAGACAGCGCAATTGTAACACCAAATGGTAGTCTTGGAGAGATCCATTTTCTTTTAAAATGCCATCTCATTAGTTTTACAGATATAGCTGACTTAAATCTGATCGCTGGGTGCAGACCAAAAAAGTTGGTGAGATGTGAACGCTTTAGTATTTTAATTAAGAAATATATAGTTATATATTTTAAAAACTGTTGATTATTCCAGCTATAATTTTTTCCACATGCTCGTATGTTTTAGGGAGTGGAATGAGTCTGCTACACTGGTGTCAGATGTACTTAGGGAGAAGTTTATATAATGATTTGTAGTCAACCTTTGAATTCCACTTGTTTCCCGTAAGTGATTGTGTATATTTACTACTTCATGGTTCCTTCAAAGTCGTCTGGCAGGGAATAATACGCACTTGATCTTCCTGGTGTCAGTCAAAGCAGAAAGGCTATACCTGCTTACCACTTTTGACACCTTTTCTTGGTAAAAAGAATGATGGCTGGTCTTCTCCTTTCTTTTTAGTTGATATTTAGAGGGATGGGGGAGAGGTGTCGAGACAGTGAGAGGGAAGGTTTGCGTGTGCACATGCATGCACAGATCTAAGAGCACGAACATGATCACAGATGGCCATGGAGCACTAATGTTGGAATTCACTGGCTTACTGGCAATTACTGAATTTGACTTTTCTTTTTACTGTACTCCAAGAAAATGTAAGGATCTGCCACTTCTATTTTTCTGTATCAGTTGTATAAAAGGGTTTTTTTGGTGGTAACTGAAATGAAGCTACAAGACAGCTTTTGAAGAGGTGTAGTCAAGGCAGTTAACAAAGAAACCCTGATATGCGGACTAGGCTCATTATTTACGTAATTTTCTTTCTCCTCTGATTTTATAATTACTTTAATTATATCATAGCTTTTACACTCTACCAATCTAGCAGTTGGAATGGGAGATATTTGCTAAATAAAACCCATCACTGCTACAATGCAGGTAGAGTATAAATCATCAGATGACAACTCCTATAATCATTACAGATAATAGACTTCGGCATCAGAGGGAGTGCTTGATAACCACCCTGACTTAATGATAAAAACAAACAGGACTTTAATGCTACAGGAAATTTGGCAGGAAAAGAAGCCTTCAAAAAAGTTCACAATCAGTGCTTCTCAATACTCGTAAGTATCTCTCCAGTGTAAAGTCCTTCTTGAAGGATCCAAGATCAGATCTTTCGTCTTGTAATAGCAGATCAACCAATGCTTTCAGCCCATTGCTGAATTTAACAAAAGAGACAGTTTGTGCTCAGTTCCATAGAGATTAATCACTCTGTTTAATAGTGTCAGTCCTGCCTGCTTGAACCTGGAAATAATACCAGGGCAAGTACCCAGGCTTAGGTGGTTCAATGATGGGATAACACAGCAAGTTCATTCAGCCAAAGCCTGCACCAGCCCTGACCTCTCACCATGTCAAAGGCTGCACTAATTGGGGTTCTTTGACTTTGTTTTTTAAAACAGCTGTTTCTGCAATACCACAAAGTTTCAGTTTCTCCCAAAACACAGGAAAAGGGAGAGAATGGGAAATAAAAGGCAGCTAAATGAAGAACAAATGGAAAAAGAATATCCCATTATATGAAAAAGGTGAGGATGGATTGAGGAGTCACCGTAAAATCACTATGATGGCTTTTCTATCTGGTGCTCTCTACAGATGGATTTGCAATTATTGGCAGTCTCTCTCTCTCTCTTTTCTTTTCTTAGATGTAGCTTTCAAAAGCGATTAGTGAGTTTGAGTGTTGATCTTAAGGCACTTTAACAAAGGTTGACTGTCAGAAAGCAGACAGTTGTCTGAAAATCAACATACTTTCAAATGTCTGAAGCTAAATACTTGTGAGTAAGGGTGCCTGCATCTTATATTCTTATTTGTTTAGAGCAGTTATGTTGATATTAAATGCATTCTTTTTTTCTCTGTGCAACTTGATGAGGGACTTCAGGCCTAATGTTCATTTTGCATAAAGCAAGACTGAGAAGAAAGGAATTACTTCTTCATTTCCTAGCTTGGAAATGATGAGTATCTTAATATTCAATAGATCTGAGTGCTCAGAGGTGGAGCTGGACTAACTATAGGCCTGACCGCTTCTTTCCATTACAAAAACCTTGTTCTCAGTTGCTTGCCAAATATTAACAAATTGTGCTGAAATTTTCCATGACAAGTGTCAGCCTCACCCTGGATTTTTGGGGACAATTTCAGCTGCGTCCTTCACACACCAAAGGCAGCATTCTTGTGGAAAAAATGTCTTCATATGGTTAAAGACTGTATCACTTTACTGTGATACACAGGCTCACATAAGAGGTAAATTAAAATTACATGACAATCTTCATTTTGGAAAGTCCTAAGTTTTGAGTGATTAACCTTAGAATTTTAATATTCACTGAAGCTAGGGATTTTTGGGGGAAGTGGATGAGAAACACAACAACAAAT